AAACAGCAGTAATCAACTCCTCGCCCATTCAGACTCTGTTCAAAGTGGTCATGAACGGCCTCTTCTTCGCCGTGGTGGCTGTTGTTATTCTGTTCACATACATCCGTATCCTTCTTGAGACTCGCAAGATGCGGCAGGACCGCGTGTCGGTTAGCAAGGCCCTACACACTGTGGTGCTCCACGGGTTCCAGCTGCTGCTAAGCATGACGGCCTTCACCTTCCCCATCACGGAGAGCCTGATTGTCCTGCACATCAGCTGGCTGCAGGAGCACATAGCTTTCCTGAACTACTTCTGTTTCGTCTTGCTGCCGCGCTTCCTCAGCCCCCTCATTTATGGCCTCAGAGATGAGAGTCTGAGGAACCACATGAAAAGAGCTGTACCCTGCTGCAGGGCACGAATTAGTCCGCATAAAGCGACCAAGAACTGAAACGAGCCCTCTTCATTCTTGTGAACCCCCCCAAAAAACTGTACAGTAATATTTATTTTCATCCATGTGCAGTAAAAAAGACTGATAAAGACATTAAGACATCAAAGCCATTATGTCACATTATAATCATTATTTGTGAGAATCAAGCACCTAAATTTAGCTTGACTGAATTAAATCATTACGTGATATAATGATGATGTGAAGTGTGATGTTAGTATGAACAGAAACATGTTAATGTTGAAATTTCTAAGACTTCACTCTTCATCAAATAAAACCCACTTAAAATGAGTTCTCATTACCAGATATGTAATAAGTTTTTATTCCCCAGAACCTAAATGACCAAAAAAACACAGTTGCCCATGAGCATAATGTTGGACAACTCAACTTCTGCTTCTGATTTTACATAACCATTTTGAAGGTCATTTGTCAATGACATCATTGCACTTGTACAGAACTATACACAAATGCTTTTGTTTGTTATTTATGTGATTTTAGGTTTTTCTCATCTAAATGAAACTTTTTAAAATGTGAACTAAGAGGCTGATGTAGGCACTAAGCACATTTGGCTACACTGACAAAGCCATTAGCATTTTAAGTAAAATATGTTTGTAAGATCTGAATCTTTTTTAGCATATATCTAGGATCTGTTTCTGTCAGTACATTCGGGGTAAATAAGACAGAAATCAGATCCTAGATCAGCACTTATTATAAATACAGGCCCAGGACAGCTTTGCTGTTGCTCACTTGGAAGCTTTAGCATTTTACTTTAGAGCAGAGAATTACACAAAGAGAACAGCACCTAATAAACTATGCACTAAATACTAAGACATTGCCCAGAGATGGGTAGAATAACACTTTGAAAAAGTGTTGATGGCTGAATACTGTCATAAATGTATTCAGTAACATACTCCATTACAATACATAAAAAAGTAATTCACACGGTTCCTCACTGTTACTGGTTAGCAGTTTTCCTCATGTAAGTCTTCTGTTAATGTCTCATGAAAAATTTGCCTCAGTCCACTGCTGCTCCCACAATCCCCATGAGACCAGTACAACACAGATGCTAAAACACAGATGTAAACTACTTTTACTTGAATCATTATTTCACTGGAGTGAAGATTTTAGGTCAGGGGCATCACGAGAGATTTATGGATTGGGGGCTTAGCCTTAACTAAGGGGTCTAGGGGCATGCCCCTTCAGGAGGATGTTTTTAATGGCCCCAAAATGCCCATTCAGCATGGACTACTACTACAGAGTAGTAATAGGAAGCAAATTTATCAAAAAAGGACGATTTGGTCAAGTTGGCACACAGAAAATCTATTACTTCATAGCGTATTAAGCACAGATCTTTTCCGACTTAAATACTATATGTGTCCACCTATGACAGATCAAACAAAGGCATTAAAGCCAAGCAATGCCATTGTCACTCCCTTAAGATGCACGTCCCAAATACACAGATTATAGTTTGGTACAGCGTCAGTCTGTACAACCAGTCAGAGTGTGATTTTGTTCTGTAGTTGCACTTACATGTGACATGGTCATAGTGACATCTGACAGCACAAAAATTATATTTACTAAATAATTTTTATTTAGGCTTAGAAATAAGGAATATGTAATAAGGGAAATAACCTTTCAACAAATTCAATACTAAATTTGACAATACTCACTCACTTTCTTCTTGATCACCAACATTTATTAGACCTGCTTCTTCAGCTCTGTCAGCCTCCTCCTCCCTCTCTCCCTCTCCTTGCCTGTTTAGTAACGTTATTTTCATAAAACTGGAATTTACAGGTACTAAAGGATCAATGTTTTTTGTTTAGACTGGCAAAAAATGTCACCTGACTGGCCTTTAACAGAGCTGCCACCTCTTCACTAAAGACCATCTACAGGTTGAGGAATTCAGATTCAGAAACGTTACAATCAGCACCAGTGTTTCATATCTATCTCTCTCTCTCTCTCTCTCTCTCTCTCTCTCTCTATATATATATATATATATATTTATATATATATATATAAAACACTGGTGCTGATTGTAATGTTTCTGAATCTGAATTCCTCAACCTGTAGATGGTCTTTGTATATATATATATATATGTATGTATATATATATATATATATATATATATATATATATATATATATGTATGTATTTATATATGTATGTATATATATTAATAATGCTAGTGTAATTTACTTAATACTTAAGTTTCTTGAAATTTTTAGGCTAATATAGTTTGCTTCAGCTAGTTAACCATCGTGCTTATGGCCTGTCCCTTTTTTTAACCATACGTGAACTTCAAGTTAGCTAGCAAGCTAACAAGCAACCGGCTAAACATTCGATAGCCAGCTATACTGACCACAGTTTGCACAACTCCATACTGTAGGTAGATATTTTCACTCCGTAGCTAAGTACTTACTAATTCAGGCTGCAATTTACAACCCAATTCCAAAAAGTTGGGGCACTGCGTAAAATGTAAATAAATGTAAATAAAAACAAAATGCAATGATTTGCAAATCTCATAGACCCATATTTTATTCACAATAGAACATAGAACACATATCAGATGTTGAAAGTCAGACATTTACCATTTCATGAAAAATATTAACGCATTTAGAACTTGATGGCAGCAACGCATCCTAAAAAAGCTGTGACGGGGCAACAAAAGGTGGTACTAATAAAAAAAAACATCTATTTGCAACTAACTCACATGACTGGGTATAAAAAGAGCATTTTAGAGAGGCAGAGTCTCTCAGAAGTAAAGATGGGCAGATTTTCACCAATCTGCATCTAAAAATTGTGGAACAATTTCAGAAAAATGTCAACGTAAAATTGTGAAAACTTTGGATATCCCACCATCTACAGTACATAATATCATCAAAAGATTCAGAGAATCTGGAGAAATCCCTGTACACAAGGGACAAGGCCATCGGTCAATATTGGATTCTCGTGATCTTTGGGCCCTCAGGTGGCACTGCATTTAAAACAGGCAAGATTCTGTACTGGAATTCACTGCAGGGGCTCAGAAACACTTCCAGAGATCGTTGTCTGTGAACGCAGATCACCGTACAATCCACAAATGCAAGTTACAGCTGTATCATGCAAAGAAGAAAACATATATAAACAGGATCCAGAAACACCACCAACTTCTCTGGGCCCAGGCTCATTTAAGATGGATGAGGCAAAGTGGAAAAGTGTCCTGTGGTCCAATGATGGACTACTATATAAATAATGGATACTGCATCCTCCAGACTGAAGACCTCCCAGCTTGTTATTAGCACACAATTCAAAAGCCAGCATCCATGATTGTATTGGGGTGCATTAGTGCGCATGGCATAGGTGACTTGCACATCTGTGAAGGCACCATTAATGCTGAAAGAAATATACAGGTTTTGGCAACATATGCTCCCATCCAGACAGCGTCTCTTTTAGGGAAGGGCTGGCATATTTCAGCAAGACAATGATAAACCACATACTGCATCCATCTCAACAGCATGGCTTCGCAGAAGAAGAGTCCGGGCGCTGAACTGGCCTGCCTGCAGTCCAGACCTTTCACCAATAGAAAACATTTGGTGCATCATGAAATGAAAAGTCTGTCAAAAAAGACCCAGGACTGCTGAGCAGCTAGAATCCTACATCAGGCAAGAATGGGACAACATTCCTCTCCCAAAACTCCAGCAACTGGTCTCCTCACTTCCCAGACGTTTACAGGCTGTTGTTAAAAGAAGAGGGGACGCTACACAGTGGTAGACATGGCCCTGTCCCAACTTTTTTGAGATGTGTTGCTGCCATCAAGTTCTAAATGAGTTAATATTTTTCATGAAATGGTAAAATGTCTCACTTTCAACATCTGAAATGTGTTCTATGTCCTATTGTTGATAAAATATGGGTCTATGAGATTTGCAAATCATTGCATTTTGTTTTTATTTACATTTATTTACATTTTACGCAGTGTTCCAACTTTTTGGGAATATTTTGAATAAGGTCTAATCTTTATTTTAGTAGTCTTTTGGATAAAGTCCTGTCTCAACTTAAGCGGTTCTGACGTTATTATACAGAGTAGCACCAGAGACCCTCCCCCTAGTCTCATATGATTGGCTTACAACTTGCAAGGTCCAATATGATTGGCTGACATCTTACGAGGTCTGATATGATTGGTTGAGCCGGCGTTACACTTTTCCCCAACGCTAAATAGCGGTCTCCTGTTAGAAAATCTTTGATAGTGTCGCTTCAGTGGTGGATTAGAGCAGCAGCGCCGCCCCCAGTTCGCACCCTGCTATCACAGTTAATTCTACATGTGGAGACACGACAGCCCAGTTGAATAATAAAGTAAAATACTGTTGATGACTTGAACTAATAATGTATATTTTGGGTGGGCTAAACTGGCCCAGTGAGTGTGGTTTTGAGCTACTTTACCCACCTCTGCTTCTTTGAAAAACTTACTCAAACTGCTGCATTTAAACAAAAGCTAATGCCACTCCTCCACCCCCACCCCCACCCCCACCCCCCGTTTTCATCCGACCTGAAATTTCAACGCGGTTAAATGTAAACAAATCACTCTCTTGCAGTGACTAGCGGAAGACAAATTGTCAGTAAATGCATTTCACGCTTGTTTCAGAGGTTTTTGTGTGTTTTTATCCCTCAGAGACGCATTGTGAGCTAGACCCCTGTCTTTCTTGAAGGCTGAGCCCATGAGCCACTGCATTACTCATGTTTCTCTGGAAGGAAGGTGGTGTTCGGAGCCTCAGCCTGCAGCGAGGGGAACATGGTAGCAGAGTGAGATGATTAGCCGCATTAAACTGAGAGAAGGGATGAAAGAAATATAAGCCGTCGAAGCTGTTTTTTTTTTCATAAGCTCTTGAAAATGCCATCAGTCCTAGGTGTTCGTCTGTTATCTCTTTGCTTTGTGATCATCACTGTAGCTGATAAATCACTCGGGGAGATGTACACCTCGATGATGAGCGTAAAGCAGGCGATTTTATCAGAAAGGCAGCTCATTGGTTATTTAAGAACGTACATTGATCATGAAACTCAAAGACTCGAGGACATTAAAAGGTAAGTCAACATGTTTATTTCTTCATTCGCTCGTGTCATGAACTGTAATGTAGCTTGCACCTAAAACAGTAAGTGTAACTCAATTTAAATAACATTTGCACCCTTTTAAACTAAACACGAACTAAGCAGAATAAAGAATTCATTTTTAATGGATTGAACTGCTCTGATATCACGACGACTAAACTTACAAATGAACGAGATTAAACTCACGTGCAGTGAGAATATCCTCAGTTCTTTAAGCGTTTTTTTTGTTTTCCCACCTGTATTCCGACAAGCCCCGCCCTTTGCTACGATTGGTGGATCAGCTGTCTGTAAGAACTTCGGGCCAATCACTTCGCACAATGAAAATCATTTTGGCCAATCGTAGGACAGGCAGGTTTTTTTTTAAACATGGGTGGGAAAAAGTGGTTGGTCTGATTTATCGGATGTGCATTAACAGATCTGGATTAAGGGGAGCCTGGTCACTTCCTATTTTTACCATTACATCAAAAACTGCAAAACAAGGGCGCCCGCAAGCGAGTCCTCAGTGAATTGAGGTTAATGGAGCTACATGGCTAAAAACGAAAAGTTAAATTAACTTCTAACCACTTGTCAAGAACCTTCTTTAAATTTTGGAACGTAGAAGGATGTATTTCAGTACAAAGCAAAGAAACGCACAGCAAATGGGTTTGGGGCAGCAGGATGCTAGCATTACTGCTACTGAGTGCTGATTGGTTGACAAGTGGAGCACCTCATTGGCTGAGTGAAGCAGTGAAACGTCACAATTTAAAGTCCTATAACTGGATTTTAAAAACACTCCCAAATATAACAGCAGTGTTACAATGTTTTATACTGTTCTGTGTTCAGAAAATTAATTGTATTCTTCAATATAAAAAAAAGTTTAAGCATTTACAAACTACAATTTTGAACAAATGCTCCATATTAACCTTTTCATTTTGGACTCGCTCAAGAGCGCCCTCTTGTATTTGACCAACCCAGAGGACATTATTGAGCATCACTTCTCTCTATAAATTGTCTGGCATTAATTTACATGTTTTTCTTGTTAACAATCAAATATGATTACATTAAAGCGAGTGATATGTGTTATGAAACTGAATTATGACAAGTACAGTATATTCTTCCAGGTTCTATTCAAAGGTTTCTGCATTTCACGATGGGATATACAACGAACTAGCAACTGCCCTTGCTAACCCTCTAGTGGCGTTCACACTCATCAAGAGACTGCAGTCTGAATGGTCGAATTTAGTCTACAGCTATGAAGCCGAGGAAAACCTCCAAGGTGCCCTTCAAAATCTGCAGCCTGATGTCTACTCACACATGTCTTCTTAACCCTTTACCTGTCATCCCCCTTCACTGGTCTTCTCCTCCTTTTAGTCATCATTTTTGTTTTTCAGCTCTGAGGGTTAGTTACAAGCAGTTGGAAAGCAGTTTGCCCAAACTAGAAGACCTCCAGGGAGCAGCACAGGGACTGATGAGGCTCCAGGATGTCTACGCCCTTCAAGTGGAGGGACTGGTGAGAGGTCATTTCCAGAGGATCTCTAATGGCAACCCAGTTGACATCTACAAACCACCAGTGTCCACCCCTCTCTCTGGTGATGACTGCTTCCTTGTTGGAAAGGTGGGCCACACTGAAAGAACACTGATGCTTTGGAAGCCTATTTGGCTTGTACTTTGTTCGCACTAATGTGAATATGGATATCAGTTGATGCGCAGTGTGGCATGAGTGTGCAGTGTTCTCATGCAGATACATTTTCTGACATATGTTTCCAATTGAGGTAGAATGAGATTTTAATAACATGGGTGTTTGAAAATTTCTTGGTTTATACGACTGAAGTGATGCCCTGTACTTTCAGTAATTTCTCCTTCCTTCCAGAGACTTATGACTTGTCCTGAAACTCTGTACTATTATTACTATTGGTCACTTGTTTGACCTTAACCCCTTAAATGGCCCACCAGCAGGTCCAATGTTTTATTACACACTTCTATAACCTAAGAATAGCTCAACCAGTTCGCATTGAAGTTCCCTGTAGTTACTAAGCCTGTATTAAAGGTTGATGAGCCAGCTGTGACTTGAGCTACAGAATTGATAACCTTACATCATTACTGGTGTAGACCGAACAGGAGACTTTTAAATGTAGATGCTCTAGTGGGACTCTCCTTAGCTCTGCTACTGTCAGACTGTTCTTATCTCTCACAGACTGTTCTCATTCTTAGGGAAATCCTGAGGTACTGCTAATAAAATAGTCACTTCCTCACAGCTTGAAATATGTTGTGGGGCTGAAGGGAACGTTCTGGAAGACGTAGATATTCAGACATTCCCATCTGAGCACACTGGAACTTCCTAATTGACATTCCATATTGAGTAGGCCCCGGTTATACATTCTCTCTCCATCTTGTGGTGCTTTTCTGGCTGAGCTCCAGTCACCAGGGTTTAGTTTTGTGTTGAAAGCTGACGTTTCAGGGATGGTGTGAAAGCCTTTCCCCCGATTCTTGTGGTCATTGGGAGAAAAGTGAAGACTTCTAAAATGCCAAATGAGAAAAATGTGACACAATAACACAGGAACACCCCATTTGTCTGAGATATTATCAGTCATAAAAATGTTTGCACGGTTGCAGCAGTAGTGTGAAGAGTAGGTGATGTGATCTTAGTCCTCTGAAATGTATTTAATGTAGTTATTGAATTTTAAATTTATTTAAACCCACCAGCCAAGTTTTATTATACACTTCTATAATCTGAAAATAGCTCAGCAAGTTTGCATTGAAGTCGCTGTAGTTACTGATTAACAAGCCTTAGTATGTAATAAGCCTGGGACTATAAGGGATTAAAATGAATACCTTGTGTTGGCAGGTACCATTCTAGACATGCACACAGGCTCTTGTCGTTATATTAGTGAGCTTCTCTTGCACTATGATGACTAAAATTAAACTGGGGTTTTCTTTTGCTGCCTGTTCAGTTCATTATAGTGTTCTCTTTTCCAGGTGGCCTATGATGTGGAGGATTACTACCACTCTGTGCAATGGCTGGAAGAGGCAGTGCGGCTGTTCCGAGGCGTGAACTGGAGCCCGGAAAACGAGGGCACTCTGGAAGATGCCCTAGATCACTTAGCCTTCTCTCATTTCAAGGTCTGTTATTCTTAAATCAGTGTTTTTTTCTTGGGTTTATGGTGAAGCAGTCCTTAGGTTTGATAGTTTACATTATTAACCCTCTTGTTTGCATTACTTCAGACAGGAAACATCTCTTCCGCACTCAGTCTCTCTCTGGAATTGCTGCGTCATGGTAAGTTATCCTGTTAAATGGTCAAGAGACAGCTTATAGCGTGCCACGTGAAAGTGTCAGATTAAGCAGTAGTTCAGCAAAAAAATCACTTATTCTTACTCTAAATGCCATCAGTCAGATAAATGCAATGCAATCAATCAAATCTAAAGAAGCAAACTTTGGACCCCAAACATGTCTTGGCTAATGGGCTACATTTGGAGTAAATGTGTAAATAAAATTTTTCCCTGAACTACCTATTGAAAACAGCTTGTAGAACAACTGCTGTTTTCTGAATCACAAGAAGGGATAAAGAATACAGACTATACAATATATGGCCAAAAGTATGTGGACACCTGACCATTACACCAATATGAGTTTGTTGGACATCCCATTCCAAAGCAAAGCATTAATATGGAGTTGGCCTCCCTTTGCAACCACAACAGCCCCCACTCTTCTGGTGTTCTGGGAAGATTTTGGACTATGCCTGTGGGAATTTGTGCCCATTAAGTCAAAATAACATTTTTGAGGTCAGACACTGTTGGATGAGAAGGCCTGGCTCACAATTGACATTCCAATTCATCCCAAAGGTGTTCAATGAGGTCAGGGCTCTATGCAGGCCAATGGAGTTCCTCCACACCAAACTCATGACTGTGATTCATCACTCCAGAGAACATTTCTCCACTGCTCCAGAATTCACTGGAGGCATGCTTTACACCACTCCAGCTGACACTTGGCATTACACATCTTAGGATAGGCGATTTTCATATGCTATGTGCTCCTGCTCTTGGAGGCCCTGCTTTCGTGGTCTACCACTTTGTGGCTGAGCCATTGTTGCCCCTAGATGCTGCCTAGATGGGACAAATCATGTAGAGCAGAAATTTAACAAATAGACGTTTGGCAAAGGTGGCATTCTATAATAGTCCCATGTTTAAATTCACTGAGCTCTTCAATACAGTCTATTCTGCTGCCAGTGTTTGTATATGGAAATTGTATGACTATGTGCTTTTTTACTCCTGTTAGCAATGAGTGTGGCTGAAAGACCAGAACTCAGTAATTGGAAGGGCTGTCCACATACTTTTGGCCACATAGTGTAGATATGAGTGGTTTCTAATCTGTCTAAAATTTGTAATGTCTCTCTTATCTAATTTCTTACCATGTCACTGTACTATTGTCTGTATTCACTTTGAATTTTGATCTTTTCTTCAAGATCCCTCAAACATAAGGGTCCTGCAGAATGTGGAGAAGTATGAGAGGCTGCTGGTTGCACGTCGTCCCATTCTGAGATCGGGGTCAGTATTGAAGAGACCCAGTTCCACCTACCTCAGAACCAGGAACACCTATGAAAGGCTTTGCCAGACCCAGGGATCTCAGGTATAACCTTAATGTGTGATAAGCAGCTTAATGACTGATTCAGTCATCTGATCCATTGTAAGCCAGGCTGCATGCCAGTGAAAATTAAACTCCGGTAACCCTTTAGAACCCTGCTACATAACACTGACATAACCATGGCATAAACTTATCGTGGCAGATGTGATGGTTATGAGTTGTCATGAGTAATATATCATAGTGTCATGAGGGGGTGGGCAATATGATGATATTTTATCATCATTGTGATAAATTATATCATAAAACACTTTTCTGAGCATATGGTGGATATCGTCAGAACCATTTAAGCCATCAAGCCATTTAAATTAATGTTAACCATGAGTTGTACTTCTTCGCGTATATCCTTTCTGAAGAGACTTGCCTCATATTGCTCTGCTGCAGTGAAATCCGCCAGATCTAATTGGTAACCTCTCTTTTTATGCACTTTTACTGTTGTAGAAACAGCACAGTTATATTTGGTGTCATACTCGTGTTTAAACATCATTCATCCATTGACAAGTTGCTACTTTAATTATGAGGAAATGGCCATTAGTATTATGACGGTCAATTAAAACAGTGGTCCATTTCAGAGGCTTCAGTGTCTTTTCACAATCCGTCTTGATATGTACATCGTAATGCTAAACTACCATATGAGTAGAGAATGATGTCTGTGCAGTTGTTTGTTGTTATAAAATTTGCAGAAATGTGAGTCTTGCTGCAGGGTGTGGGCTGTAAACATGTAGAGAGAGTTGAAGTTGGAAGGCAGTTTTTTTTTGGTTGGTCTCAAATTGCGTAATGAAGCTCAGATGTATTTCTCTCCTCACAGCCAAAGCTCTATGAAAACCCCAGCCTGTTTTGCGACTATTTCACCAATGGTAGTCCTGGTCTGCTCCTGCAACCCATGAAACGTGAGCTGGTCAGCCTGCAGCCTTATGTGGTGCTGTTTCATGATTTCGTCACGGCAGCTGAGGCCCAGAACATCAGGGACTGTGCATTGCCAGGGGTGAGTCATAGCTACAAATAGTGTATCTAAAAGCTGTTGATTTCTTGTTCTTTGGTGTTTAAAGAGAAATATCAGCCGAAGAGAAACTTTTAACCATTGATTCATCTGTTGTAAACATGTCTACTCTCCTCCTACTATGGTGTCACAATAGTCTCTAGAGTGTGATTTTTGAGTTTAAAGACTAGGAAAACCCCTTTTTGATGATGTGTCTTAAATGTTTTGAAGAACTATGACTGCTTTGGAGTGAATTCTTATGGGTGGGCTGTTTGAATTAGGTTTTTCCCCTCTTGCTGGCTAATGCAGAAGGAAGCCAGACACTCTCTAAAAAAGGAAAGTTGGGTTATCTTACAATTTGAAGTCAACTTACTTCACAGTGTTTTTGCTAAAGTTAGTTGCCTTCAAATTGTATTTTATTTTATTTTATTTATATACTTTTTACAGTGCAGCTAATATCACTGCTGAGTAGCCAAAAATCACATCTGTATTTGTTAACCTCAGTGGCTACACTAGCAGTCAGGATTTCTTTATTGCAATGATGCAGCTCCAAGTGGTTGCATGATATATTTGTGTAATGCATGCTGGGTATTGTAGTGAGAGAACCTTAATGGAAGAAAGCACATAAAGATACAAAATTCTGAATTCTGTCCAGTGAGCCTGAGGGATGCAGTGCTGTGCTACAGAATACTGCACATGACAAGTAACATACTGAATGCATTTTTTTAGGCCATAATGCTCATTTAAACTGGTTCATTAAGCTGTCATAATTGCTCATAGGCATGGTATTATATAGTAACATACAGAATCATTTTGCATAGTGAAACAACTGTCAAGTTAAACTGTTTGCCCAGAAGTTTTTTTGTTTGTTTGTTTGTTTGTTTGTTTTTTAATTTGCTGCGGTCTCATGACCGCGAATGGAAATCTCATAAGTCTTGTACAACAAACAAAAAAGCTGATTTAATACACAAATGTTCAAACTCCAAGATTAGTTACCAGAAAAACAGCTACAACATTCTCCTGAATGGAGCGTACAGTTTGATTTGCTTGCAAATTTAGAACTTGGGGAACAGCATGTATTTTGTGAAGTGTGTATCTGTGGTTTAACAATGGTAGCATCAGGGATGCTTCACATTAAAATGCACCTGAAATATGTGTTTCACCAAAAAACATATTTGCCCACTTTTACACTTACCCCAAAAAAGACATTTTTGGTGTCTGAAGCTTGATTTTTCGGTTGGTTTTACACAGGGAGCTACAAGGCTAATAGAAGTTTCATCATTTGCTATTTACAAATTCACAGTAGAATTTAACAGTGATCCAGTTGTAGGCTTTATCCTAAAGTTAGCTCATGGAAACATTATGCCCACCTGCCTAATTTGCTGTCCTCTGTGTGCCGCCAAAACAGCTCCAACCCACCAAGGCATGGACTCTACAAGATCTCTGAAAGTGCCCTGTATTATCGGGCACCAAGATGTTAGCAGCAGATCCTTTAAGGTCTGTAAGTTGTGAGGAGGGGCCAGTGTGGATCGGATTTTTAATTTCTCAGAAAAAGTACCAGCACAGACGATGATTCTTATGGCGCAAATGCAGCACAAGAAAATAGTACGATTTTTATTCCATTTCTGATCATATGGAAGTCTAATACATATATACTTGCATGCATTTCTGATCATTTTAAATTATTAGATGATTGTTTAATAGTGATGCTCATATTGAATCATTCGAAATGTCCGATCAAAAGGAGTCAGTTGCCCTGATTTGATTCAAAGTTTCAGAATCTGGGTTTCACACATGACCTGACGTCACGTTGGCTAATGCTATCAGGAATGTTTGTACATTCAGTGCAAGCTGTGAGCTCGGCTGAAAACATAATATGTTTCAAAAAGTTTCACTCCTGGACATTACATATCGCTGTTGTCAGAAGAAAACTTTGTATCTCCATTTTTGACCTTTTTTATATATTTTGACATAAATTGAAAATGCCTGTTGTCCTTTACATTGTATGTAAATTTCATGATGAATGGACTAAAAGAAACGTCCCAAAATTACTTGGAAAAAAGTCTGGTTCCAATGACTTACATTAAAAGTAAAGCATGTTTTTTTTCCTTCTCCTGTAAAGTTATCATTTTGGAGTTTTCTTCCGACAACAGTGATATTTAAGTCCGTGCATAGAATGGAATCCTTTATAAGTTTGATGTGTAGCTTTAAAGAGGGGTAAATAGTCTACCAAGCTTAGACTGTTAATTCACATCATTCAGCTGTTGTTGAGAATTCCTAAAAAGTAAAATCTCAGTGGGGTTGATGCCAAAAACAGGGTTGTAATACCATAAAAAGTCAAACAGTTAATCTCTCTCGCTCTCTCTGCCTCTCTCCCTCTTACACTCCCTAAAACAGTCTCCTATCCCAAATGGTGTTGACAAGAAACGCAAAAATTCTCAATTTTAAAACCTTAAATTTCCAGTTGTTAATTTCAGCACTTCATCAATTATAAAAAAAGAAATTGAACACATATAATCAATATTATTGCACACAGATAATTCTGATTGGAGCGAGCTGAATGTAATGTATGAGGACCATCACTGTTTGTTGATACTGTATAACATAGGCGAACCATGACTACTAGAACAAGACCTTCAGTTCGGCTTGTAAATGTCACAACTGTCAAAATATGAGAAAAAAAACACTTATCCAGTAAGACCTACTTCTGCTAGCGGCCCTATGACATTCAAGTAGTTTGCTAGCGCTAAGCTAATATCTTAACATATCTTAAGCTTCTAAAACACATTTCATGTTTCATTTGAAACTTATGGCAGCCATATTAGTATACATTTTACCTTGCATCAGTTTTACAGTGACTGTTTCAGTAAAGAGGCTGGTCTAGGGCTGCTGCCACTGTTTTATTTTTCCCCTAACAACCCTTTGATTAGTCTGCTGCTCGTTTTTACAGTCAGTGATGGATCTGGGACTTCCAGAAGGTCTAATGTGATGATTTTTTTTTCATGAAACTGGTCTCACTTTTTTGGAAATCAAAACATGATTGGTTGATTCCTCGGTCACTTTGTAATTATGCTGATGGTTAATTAAAGTCTTTAGGCCTTCTCTACAGCTCTTGACGTTCTAACCAGTAGGAGAGGTCACTTTACTATGTCTACCTAGATAACATGGATAAAAACAACTACTGATTGAGCATTTCCAGCATTTAACCCTTTTGTTTCCATCCAAAACTTTACAATGAAACAAGAGTAGTGCTGTAATACTTGCAGAGTTTGAACACCAGCACAATCCTATTGAATAAAAATGAAATAAAAATTATAAACCACGCTATATTTTGTAAAACTAATAATGAATGCAGTAAGATTGTCTTGCTTTTTTCTGCCATCACTATTGTTGGATACTTTCTAACAGTGTCTGCCAGTGTCTATCAGCTGGCTCACTGAGATAAAAGCAAGCCCTATGTTGTAAAACAAACAATGACAGCAGTAAAAGGAAATAAAGAACAGTTGTGTTTATATAAATAAGTAGAGCATTTTCTTGAGCGGGTAGTGACTCAATGTTTTAACCAAATTCTGCATTTTTTTTTCCACCACCCATCTCCCACTTTCCTTTAGTGTTAGGCTGACAGACATGATCTTTCATTAAAGCTGTTCACAGCAAAAGCTGTGTTAACACTGTGTGAATTGTGTGGCATGCAGTTCACATCTGTCTCCATTATTAGACAAAAAAGAATAGACTGTTCTGTGTGTGAAACCCAAATATGGAAATGAAGATGCTTTGTGAAAATTGAGGCTTGGACAATATGACCATAATTTTGGAGAAGAACAGTGTGGCTCCATATACTCAGCGAAAAAGTTCTGAGCCGCAGACCATTTCTGGCTGGCCTTCCACTTCCACGCTTGTGGAAACTATTCATGACAAGTAACGGCTGGCCCACAACATAGAGAGAGCAACTGTTCCAAGTTTCTGAATCGCTTATTCTGGGAGCCACAAGAAAATGAGAAGAATCTTTTTTTGTTTCCTGGTCCTTTAAGAAAGGCCATCATCACTGCCTTCATCATTGCGTTACCGTCTGATGATGCTTCAGAGGGCTGATTGAAAACAGACGTTGTGAATGCGTCATTTAGGAAGTGTCAGTCGTGCCAGCACTGCCATCAGTTATTCCACTCAGTACAGTTCCACTCTGTCATCTTTGTCTGGGCAGACTGAACACTGAATTGAGTTTTTCTGTCACCACTATTCGGAGGTTAAAAATCTCACTTCCTTTCCAGTAGTTGAATTCTAACATTGCGCTCCCTTCCATGAAACTGCTGTACAAAGACACCTGGGGAAATCCCTTTTATATTAGCCATTTAATGCACATGTGTCAGGCTCCAGTCCTGGTGGGCCAAAACACTGCAGACTTTCGTGCACAACTTCATTAAAAAAACACGATTCAGCTTATCAGCTAATTAGCAAGGCCTTCATAAACTGAATTCAGAGCATTAGATGAGAATAAACACTAATCTCCGCAGCTTTTTGGCCCAGAAAGTCGCCAGTTTGACATGCCTGATATAATGTTTAGCCTTTTAATCTACTCTTCTTCTTTAATAATGTGACTTTGTCAAATGTTTTTTTTTCACATATGAAGAATATAATCTGACAAAGCTAAATGCAGATAGGAAGATGCACTATATGGCCAAAAATACATGGACAGCCCTCCTAATGACTGAGTTCAGGTGTTTCACCCACACCTATTGCTAGCAGTTGTATAAAATCAAGCACATAGCCATGCAATCTTCATAAATGAACACTGACAGTAGAGGAGGGCATATTGAAGAGCTCAGTGACTTTAAAAATGGCACTGTTATAGAAGGCCACCTTTGCCACAAGTCAGTTTGTGAAATTTCTGTCCTGCTAGATCTGCCCCAGTCAACTGTAAGTGCTGTTATTGTGAAATGGAAGCGTCTAGGAGCAACAACAGCTTAGCCACAAAGCAGTAGATGCTGAATTACGTAGCATGTAAAAATCACATATCTTCTGTTGCATCACTCACTACATAGTTCTGCCTCTGTTAGCACATTAGCACAAAAACTGTGTGTCGGGATCTGCATGAAATGAGTTTCTATGGCCAAGAAGCTGCACATAAGCCTTATATCACTATGTGCAACAGCAAGCATCAACTGTAGTCATGTAAAGCACATGGTGCATAGTGCTGACAGGCTGAAGTTATTCATCTGCACTGCCTTGTATTTGAAACAGGGTGGTCAAATCTTATAATTTCTGAAAAACTACTGTAAGGAAATAATTACAGTATATTATTTAATTGCAGCTTAACTGCACAATCATTTTATAACTTTTTGGTGTTCCCAAAAAATGAGAAATTGAATAATGCATCTCGAAATACCTTCTGTCTGAAATACCTTTTTTATTTTTAAAACTGAATAAAATAACTGTAATTATTAATATGACACATGATTCCAAACTTCAAAATGCTAGTATATATTAAACAAAAATAAGAAAAAATATATGTGTATCACATATAATACAAACATATATAGGGCCTTTTATAAGATACAAAAAGGGCAATATATCAATCATTCTACGGAGCTGGTTCAAAATCAGAGCCGAAAATACATTTCAGACTTTCACTGGCTTGGACTTTAGATTAAATCATTTTGCTTTGAGTGACCCTATAACTTGATTATGTTATTTCATTAAAAACAATGATTGAACATTCAATTTTGTCACTACCAAAACAATCATAACAAGACCAAAAATTTACCAAGTGTTTCAGTGGTGACTGTTTCAGTAGTGATAATTTAAGCTAGACCAAAACTCAAAAACACTAGCCAGTACCTGCCTAGCAAACACAGCTTTGTAACACATAAACTCATAGCATTTTTCATTAAAGCACAAAATACTACTTTAGACAGTTCTCGATGTTACACACTGATTTTCAGACTTTGAGACACATTTACTTCAAAACAATGGGATCTAACTGCTCACCATGTGGCCATGAGGAACAGAGATGCAGTCTCACTTTCTGCTTGTAAATGCAGGCGTGTGGCTAAAATAAGGCTCCTCCTATGGACAAAAATCTGTGTTCTGGTAGTGATATGAAAACATGGGACAGCATTTTTTGAATAATATTTTTTTAATTACATTTTTTTTCAACTACATGTTAAAAGAAGATCTTTTAAAAAACAACATTGAAAAAATCCAAGTATTATTTTCAGAAGTTTATTGGCCCACATTATTTTACTTTGTAACCTATTCCCTTTGGTCAACACCATGCTTTTCTAATTATTTTCTATTTTGCATGTTCTTCTTGCTCCTTTTAGCTAAGGAGATCAGTTGTGGCATCAGGAGTGAACCAGACCACTGTCGACTACCGCATCAGCAAGAGGTAATAAATGTTGATTACAAGCCTTAGTCCAGACAGTTTCTATGGGAGTGGCACTCACTGCTGTCATAATAGCATTAAACGCTACACTGCAGCAATAGATTATACGTTTAGTTTCAGTATAATGTGGGAAAAATAACATGGTGCGATTGCTTTTAAGCTAACACTTAACATTATGAGACTGTAAACAGATGATTCCCTCTTGGAAACAGAAATAGTAGGTTACCCATAAAGTTACAGTGCTCACACAAAAGCTTCTTTTCATAACACTAAACTCTATTAGTTGTATAAATATGGACAGTGTAGTTATCATATTCTGGACTGTGCAGTTTAGAATTAATAGTGGTTCTGTCACCTTAAGTGAATGAAAACCAGGTCCTGTTAGTTCTGATTTTCAACATCTCTATAGTAATATTCCTAATATTTTTGCATGTTTGATGTCTTAACCTTGAAGTGTGTTTAAGGGAACTGAGTTGTACACTATATGGCCAAAAGTATGTAGACACGACTCCTAATTATTGAGTTCAGGCGTTTCAGCCGCATCCATTGTTAACAGGTATATAAAATGAAGCACAGAGCCTTGTGATCTCCATAGACAAACATTGGAAGTAGAATAAGTCATACTGATAAGCTCAGTGACTTTAAATGTGACACTCTCATAGGATGTCACCTTTGCCACGTGTCAGTTTAGAAACCCTGCTAGATCTGCCCCAGTCAACTGTAAGTGCTATTATTGTGAAATGGAAGCATCTAGGAGCATAAACAGCTCAACCACAAAGAAATAGACCACGCAAACTCACAGAGTAGGGCTGCCGAGTGCTAAAGCTTGTAGCGCATAAAAACCACCTATCCATTGTTGTGTCTCTCACTACAGAGATCCAGCTTGCCTCTGGAAGCAACATCAGCACAAGATGTGCTGGGACCTTAATCAAATGGGTTTTCATGTTTGAGCAGTTGCTCACAAGCCTAAGATCACTATGAGCAGTGGAAACACATTCTCTTCAGTGATGAATCATGTTTCACTCTCTGGCAAGCTGATGGATGAATCTGGGTTTGGCAGATGCCAGGAGAACTACTGGAATGCATAGTGTCAACAGTAAAGTTTGGTGGAGGAGGGATAATGTTGTTGGGCTGTTCAGGGTTTGGGCCCCTTAGTTATAGCGAAGGGTAACGTTAACATACAAAGGCATTTTAGACAATGCTTCAAACTTTGTGGCCCTGTGTACAAACCAAAGTCTGTAAAGACATGGTTTGATGAGTTTGTGTGTAGGAACTCCAGTGGCCTGCATAGCCCTGACCTCAACACCCCTGAACACATTAGGGATGAATTAGAATGTCAGCTGTGAGCCAGGATTTCTTGTCTAACATCAGTGCCTGAATTGAGGCTGTTGTAGCCACTAAAGGACAGAGGGGTGACAACTCCATATTATTGCTCATGGTTTTGGAATGGAATGTCCAGCAAGCTCATAAAGGTGTGATGGTCATTTGGCCATGTAGAGTATCTCATAGCTTGTGTTTGTTCATCTTCCAGTGCGTGGCTGAAGGACTCAGCACATCCCACCATTAGCAAGGTGGACCGACGCATCACTTTGCTAACAGGCCTGAATGTGCAGCTTCCCTACGGTGAACATCTGCAAGTAGTGAACTACGGCATTGGAGGACATTACGAACCACATTTTGATCATGCTACAGTGAGTAGGTCCTTTATACAGTGAGTAGGTCCTTTATCTACCTATCTTTAGTAAGAGTGCAGAGAGGGCAATCAAACATGAATGAGAAAAAGAGTTTCCATAGCTCTCTCATTAGGCCAACTTTAGTAATGGCATGCCTTCAGCTGAGTCTTTTAAAAGATAAGGTTAATATTAATAGCCGTAGATTGGATCTCCTTTTCCGGGTGATTTTACCTTTTATTTTGCCTTGATTTGTTTGACCTGCCAGAAAGACTGATAATGATGCAATGCTTTGATGATATGATCTGTCAGTTTGTGGCAAGCATGTTCATATAAAGGCACACCCTGACTCAGTTGTGGAAAATTTTAGTGTTTAGTGAGTGATTGATGAGATTTTCAAGTTCAGGCTGGGTCAAATCCAGACTTGTAATGCTATCATGCTTTTTTTTCCCTTTTCATCTCTCTGGCAGTCTACATCCAGCCCATTGTACAGACTCAATTCTGGAAATCGAATGGCCACGTTTATGATATATGTAAGTGAATTGTGTCTTATCGTCTCCTGCCTGTGCACTCTCAGTGCTACTGTGTGCATATTTTACATATCAGTGGGAGAGCTCACTGAAATATGTAAGATTTTCCAATAACGTAATTCAACCCAGTCTCCCAGCCTCCCTCCCCCCTCCAAAAAAGTCATATACAGCCTTTTCTCCAAGGAAAACATTCCTGTCAGTGCAATACGAGAGAGTCAGTGTGTGAGTTTTGGACAAGCGACAAGCTCAGCTGTGCCATGGGCTATATTGAATGATGTGTTTACTGAGATTAACACTGAGTGAATGAGAACATTGTGATGCATTGCAGCTCAGCTCTGTAGAGGCTGGAGGATCCACAGCCTTCATCTACGCCAACTTCAGTGTCCCTGTAGTGGAGGTACTGCACATTTCATACATTCAGCACATTGCATTCATATTTAGATCAAATAAGGGTGTATCAATACATGCTAAAACGTTACAGTGTGCATCAGTGGGCATGGGAATTATTAGCTGCATTCTAATAATTATGCCATTATTTTATTGTTTAAACATCAAAAATCATAACGTAATCCACTCCAACACATTAGATGTCATATGTTACTTTCTCAGCTCCACTCAGCGGTAGATCATGTTGGAGATAACGCGGTACAAGCTTCAGTAATGCTGTTAGCTTTGCATTTATTGAATATTTTAATTTTTGAATATTCTATCAAATATTATTTCGGATATTTAAATATTCTATAAGAATAAGAAAGGTTAAGATATGTGTTTCACTTTAATGCTGAAATCTAAAGTGCTATTCTCAGGGATTTTGCCCAATCTGGCGACTCTGACCAGGCTGCTAGATTGTTTAAACTGTTGAGTAACTTTTAAGATAAGTTGATAATAAGCTTTTGTTGGTACCGTTTTCTTATTATTAGTTTTAGTAAGTTTTCTTTTGCTCTGTACAGAAAGATTGCTAGCCAGAACGCAAAATAGGCCTGACACGATTTTCATTCAGAAACTACTCTGTAAGCTTCACATTTTATTCATAAAGATTTGATTTTGAGGCAGTTGTTTTTAAATGGTTCTACTGGCTAGTTTCTACAGTTTAAATAGCATTAGCCATTCATACCCCCTTTAAATGATGTATACTGTGATTGGCTATATCGTTCTAAATAAAGTACTAAAAGTACTGCGAATTTTCTTTCTAGTAGGTACAGTTGAATGCAAAAGTCAGATCAAATGATATGTTTTGTTGTTTTTCTAAGTGAAAATAAAATAACACATCCTCTTCTCCACAGCTACTGTTTATTTAATGAATTTAATGTATTGGAAGAGAAAATAAAACATAAAATGTGTCCTGTGCAAAGCTTATGGCACATTTTATACTTATGCCATTACAAATGTTAAATGTTACTTTAAACATATTTAAGTGTGTTCCCTGTAGAGGATGTGTTAACTTATTTTCACTTAGAAGATCAATAAAACATGTAATTTGAACAGAGGAGGCTCCGACTTCTGCATGAGACTGTAAATGGGTTTATGGGATAACATAGAAGTAAATCATGAGCAGTGAAATTTGTTTTTCTAGGAAGTGATAACTAATCCCATTACAGTCTGTGAGAGGTAATTAGTCATTTTTAATGGATGGCGTTTTGAGTAATTACACCAACACTTAGTAGCTTGTGCAACAACTTTGGAAAAGTCACCACTGTCCTTTATTAATATTCATAATATTATAAGAATATCAAATTGTAAACCAGTATTGTCAATTCAATCATAAACTGAGTGTACTGGTTCACCCCTAACATCAAGTCAAGTCAAAATGCCAGAGATTCCGCTTATTACAACCATCCAAAGCAATGCAGAGAGATGAGTTCGGTTCTTTCGAGGCCCAGCGTTTTGAGCGTTTCATTATGGTATGTGTGGTTGTTGTTAGAAGGTATCCTATTACACTGGAGGCTTTGTGTTAGGGGCATGAATGGGACTCTATTAAATGAGCTGTGGCTGAAACACTACTGATGCCTAGTGAGAATCTGACCCTTTGACCTTTGTGGCCTGTGGGCTTTCACCACCTGTGGCTAAGCCTTTTGGAGATGGGTTAACGTAACAGTCGTAAGCACTGACCTATAATCTATCAAAAGCTAAGGAAAGAAGGAGGTCAATAGTGCAGAGATTTGCACGTTATGCTGTAATGTTGCTTTTATGCATCTTTATGTTTCTGTGTGCCTGTCTTTCCTCCAGAATAGTGCTCTCTTCTGGTGGAACCTTCATAGAAATGGCCAAGGCAATGGAGACACTCTACATGCAGGTTGTCCAGTCCTCATTGGCGACAAATGGGGTATGATTTCTGTGCCATGATCATTTATTAACAAAATTATGATTATTACTGGGTTAATGAGGAACGTCTGTATGCCATTACATCTAGAAAGAACCAGAAAGACTCAGCACTGTTTTAACAAAACCTCACATCTACAAAATTATGAGTATGTTCTTTAGGGGGCCATTTCAGAGACATGGCATTGTTCTGTGAGATTGCAGATAACTCTTTAAGTGATTGGTATCGCTGTGAATTGTAACTGATTGGCACATATTTCATTATCATAAAGATTAACAACAACTACAGACTAAAGACTAAAATTTGCCACCTTTTCGCTGGCTGAAAGGGTGAAAATGTGTCTCTGGCACCCATTTTGTGCTAAATAAAGATAGAATCACTCTTTTGTTTATGATTTTGTTTGATGACTCTACAGAAAACATGCATCTGCACATTTTAATGCACAATCTGTTGAGTTTAACATATTGAGGACAAAACTTTTATATTTTGTATTTTATATGTATTTTTCCAGTGTATTAAACTTGCAGATATAAAAACACCATATTTTATTCCCTTTAGAGGATGGGTTACCTTATTTTCACCTGGAAAATCATCAAAAACCTTTATAATTTGACTATAAAAAAGATCAGTGCTCTCTGATTGTCAAATTTATGCTTGTGTAATAAGTTTACAAAGCAGCACGATTGCAGCCGTTGCCTTGAATCCTCTAATCTTAAACTTCTGTTTGCAGAGTCAGCTGAACTTTTCCACTGTGTCAATCTTGCAACACTTAACACGACACTCAAAATGTTTACCTAGGGTCAAACAGAGTGTAGAGATGACGCAGGTGCTCCAGCAACTTTACCTGAGTAGACCTTTTAGAAGAAAGTTGCAAACATTTCCACATTATTCTCTTTGTGAATAAGAACAGTTTTGTGTGTTTGTGGCATTTGCTCATATCCTCATACCCTAAAACCTCTCTTTCAGTGGCTAACAAATGGGTGCACGAGTATGGGCAGGAGTTTCAGCGCCGCTGCAGTCCTGACCCCAAGGAGTGATGAGAGATTCTGGGACCGCCAGGAGTACAAGAGCCGGCGTCCACAATGGAGCAACGGAGGTCAAAAAGGAGGAGGGGGCCCAGCCAGGAGCTGGTCTACCCGCCTGACTGTGCGAGTGATTTAATGGCAGCAGCTCTGAGAAAAAGGGTGAGCTGCATAGACACTGGTGAAGTGACTGTGAGTGTGCGTATTTGGCAGTCAGCCACAAAACCAAGCTGGCCCCTTTGCTCGTGCTCTAGAGGCTGTGAGCACACATCACTTTCTGTTAACTCCACAAGCCCAGGATCACCTCCAGAACCAGTTTATTTCCCCCAAAAAAAGCAGTGCATGCATCGCCTTTCCCATGGAAGACAAATGCACTGTGCATAGCACTCCAGGACATTGTTTGATTGAATGGGAAAATGCACATTTATTTGCGTATTGAGTGCAATATTCATCCATAATTGGAATAATGTGTTCTTTGGCATTTGGAATAATCAACAGCTGGCAAAAAAATGTCAATAGTATGTGTGTTTTTTACATTTAACATTTTTACATACATCCATATTCTTACAAAACACTGCCATCTCTCTTCTTTCATATTCCTGCCAAATCATGGTCCACTTTAAGCACACAGCCTTGATCTGGTGGAAGTCAGAAGCTATTAAAGGAGAATTCCAGTGGTCTTTCAAAGTGACTTAATAATAAATTAATGAGATGTAAACAAAGTCATTCAGAGCCTGTTTACAGGACTGGCGACCTGTCAAGGGTGTTTCTTGCCTTCCGCCCAATGACTGCTGTGATAGGCACCAACACCCCCCGCAACCCAGAAAGATAATTCGCTTAGATAATGTATGTGCGTGTGTGTGTGTGTGTGTGTGTGTGTTGTCCATGTCCAGATTGCGTCAGGATATACTTTGATCAGATTCCATTTACAGTTTTCACTAAAATGCGTCCCCAGTGTTAACAGATGAGATCCAACACAGTCATTTCCATTTTACTTTTGTGTACTTTTTCCACTGTTATGATACATGACGACTAGCTCGGCAGAGCACAAGCAGGCTCCTGGTTTGGGGAACTTCAGCCTCCTTTATCTTTTGTTTCCTTGTTTATTTTCTCACCTGCTAGTCAGCAATTTGCAGATGCGCTTCCACTCGTGAAATGGAATAACAAAACACATTCTGTTTACACTTACGTTAAATGTGGTCAAGATCACCTCCGACTGTGGTTTATTCGTAATCCAGTCATGATGCGTCCACAGGGTGTTTACACCTAGCTTTTCATGCAGTCAAGTGAAATCGGAATGTGATTTTATCACCAAAAAATGCATGTTAGTGCAAAGTGTAAAAAGGCTCTCAGTGTGATGTGAAATGGTTCAGTGTAGAGAAACTTGCCGACTTACTCGTTGCTTTACAGTGATGGTGACAGGAACGAGGGATCATGATGTGCAACATAGCAATATAGCTGGGCTGTACGATGTGGCATTATTGTTGCACATGCTAGGAGAAATGAATCCTGAGCGAATAGAAAAAAGATCAGTCACACACATACGATAGATCGTCCTGTGTACGTCTTCATTCTAATATCTTGTCCAAGTGACTATAGAAGTTGTAGTCAGTTGTTCATAGTTGATCATAGTCAGGACAGAACAAATCCATATATTTGTAAACAAAATGCCTTGCAATATACAGAAGGCCTAGAAGTTGTTTTGTTTGGGCTGTAATGTAAAACATAAAGCCAGCAATGATTTGGGATTTTGCAGTTTGCCTGCTGAAAAAATGTCAGCACAAAAGACTTCGAGAGCTGAAGCATCACCTTCTGTACCTACTACCTTTACTATCTTTAGCCTATATACCATTTTCAGCGTGTTATATTTTTAAGGTAGCTGATTAAACTAAAATTACATGCTAAATAACACAGAGTCTTACCTTGAAGTCATAAGCTATTTCCTGTTTTTAAAAGAATGTCTCCATTCTGCAGGTGTGGGTTTCTGGTATAGGCTGGTCTGAGTTTCTTTGCACTCAAAGATGCAGATAAAAACTGCTAATAGCACCTCATTAATGTGTAGAAAATAAATTGTCTGTACATTTCACAGAATTAACATTAAAATACCTTTTACATGCTTCAAGTTATGGTTAACATAACATTTTCATCCACTTATTGAGATTAATCATTTTAGAAGCATTTTATATCATTTTAATTTGTCTTAATAAAAAGAAATGACACTTGCAAATTTAATAGCACCAGTGCTACATGTTAAAAAAGTATGTATACACAGCTGTTTTTATATGCAATGTTGATAATGGTATTATAGTATATAGGTATTATTCTGGCTTACAATGCCCTGCATGCACCTCTCTGTCACTAATAGTTTACATTTTAAGCCAAAACTCTCTCAAAACTATCATAAACCCATGTTCAAGGAATTTGGCAATGTTTTTTATTTTCATAAATATTTGATCGAATAATTTTCTGTGAGGAAGCTTTTAGAGGCATTAAACTTTTTCGGATGTCTGGTTCCCATCACCACCACTATGAACAACTCTGAATGTTTCTCTAGAATGGTGCAGTTCATCAGACCACGCTGAATAACTGTGTACATCTAAACCATTTAATTTAAAAATCACTGGAATTCCCCTGTAATTTGCTTGTATTTGTAGCATTAATCAGGCCATGTCACTCTTGTGAATCAGAAATGCGTCTGCTCCAGGGCAGCCTGCCAACACAGACAGGACACATGGTTCTTGTATGATGAGGTGAGGATTTTCTTATGAAATGGAACGGCTGAGGGATTTAAGAGCTTTCTATGTCAGTGGATGGATCTTCACCATACAAAAGTGAGGGGGTGCTTCAGGAGTGTTGAAAGGAGCCCTGGGCTGCACATACACATGCATGCACGTTAGTCTGAGAGGCCTCCGCAGCTGGAATGCTGTGAGCTCCCAGCTGTATTTGGCCAACCTTTAGTCGAGATTATCCATTTTTTATCCACAGTTGACAGGCCCAGGATATGCTCTGAATGTGCTTGTCTGTTGTGAGCAATCCCTGAATATTTTTACCACAAAATGTCTGAAAGACTTTATCTAAAAAAATCCAAGTTCTTTTGTATCTTTCCTCCTCTTTTCTAAATACAATGTGTGCTTACATGAAGAGAATTTGAGCTTGAATCACAAAAAAAGAACAGTGTTAGTCCTGTGTTCCCAATGTCCTCCGCACACTCCCTCTTATATAATAATCAATGCCACCAAAATGCTGACTGTAGTTATTGATCAGGCTCTGTAACATTTGGGCCCACAGGGGTTGATGGTTGATTTAGGTACAATTTAGTCTCAAATCACACACTGATAATGTGACAATGTGCTGTTCCATTTTCCTGTAAATGCTTCAAATATTGACCCTAAACCTGACGAGCCATGATCAGTTTAACATTAGCTTTTAGTAAAGACAATGCTAAACAGATGCTTAGAGATTTCAGATACATTTTCTTACCATTAATTTTATGGAAACTAAAATGTTGCTTGTAAACCTCTAGTCTTTGAATTTAAAACAATAGCAGCATTTCTCCAGCCTTTCAGCTTTACAGTGGCAGAATCACCACCTTGTGAAACCACAGAATGTACCTTTTATTGGTAGAAAGTCGATCTAATGGCAGTGAACTGATGCCATTTTCTGTACCACGCTAGGAATGTGAAACACTTTGTACCACTAGGAACATTATGCATTACTGCACTGTGATCTGACTGTTTTCAGGAGACCATGCAGGCCAAAAAGACCTTATCTGTCCATAGAATTTCAGTCCAGGACTTCTGAAAATCGTTCAAGTACATTTTGCAAACCTTAGAGAAGCACTCGTGTTTGTTTAACCTGCCTTGCTATGATCACTTTCTAATCTTATCCTCTCTTGTGGTAGAATAACTGCATCTGATTGGCTTGTATTAATTGCACTTACTTCAGCTTCAGCCATCAGCAACTTTTCAGTACATGGCATCCAGAGGAACAGAATAACATGAAGATGAGAGGGTCAGTTACAAAATGTCTTCATGTCAGACAGATTGGGGCAGGATGGCCACTCCTGGGATGGTATGATGCTGTCCTAAGCTTTCTCTTCACTGGAGCCCTGAGCCTCGTCCTTCAGACTGGCAGGCATCCACAACTTGTTTGTGGGATTCTTCAGAAATTTATTTGGATTAGTGGTATTCTGTGCCTCTGGAGTTGTTTGCTAAAAAAATTCATGATAGTGTTGAGGCAGAAGTGAAATGGAATGTTCCTCACTTTTTAAATGAGTTTAATGTAGTATGTAAACACTGAAAGTCTCAAAACATACAGTTCACTCCCCAGTCCATTCAGCCATATATGGCCTAAGATAAATTAATTATGTAATATCACACAAAAAAACACTTTATATGTTTAAACCTTCTTATACATCTTTCAGCAGTTTAGCTCTGCCCGTTGAAAGTTATAAGGAGTGTTTTAGCCATGGTCTGCGACACAGTACAGGACAGCCAGTCATTTAAAACAGAGCTCATTTAAAGTGATCAGTCTTAAAGGAACAAAACAGCCTATTTAATTATAAAGAATAAAGAGAGGTTGGAAAATGGTCACGTAAAAATTAATTATGACTGTTCTAGGTACATGGAACCACAAACACACAGATTTTCTAAACTGCTTATCCTTCTGGACAGAAGGCAGGAAACACCCTGGACAGGTCACCAGTCTATTGCAGGGCAGACAGACAGACACATACATTCACACCTAGGGGCAATTTAGCATGTCCAGTTGGCCTGACTGTGGGAGGAAACCCATGCAGACATGGGGAGAACATGCAAACTCCAGACAAAAAGGACCCTGGTCCCCAGCCAGGAATCAAACCTAGGCTCTTCTTGCTGTGGGGAGACAGTGTTACCCACTGTGCCACCGTACCATCCACCACAGCTATTGAATATGGGCTCTTTAATACAAGGAAAGAGGATACAGTTACTTATTCAGACAGCTTCATGTTAAATTACTTAACACACCAAACTCAAACAGACCTTCTGATTTCTTTTCTGAGCCCCCCCATCCCCCCTACTTTGTTTTTCACTCACTATTCTTTACTGATTTGTCTACAGTGTTTGTGATCCTTTAAAATATCGACAGCATATATTTTTAAACCAGAAAAAAAAGAAATACAAAAAAGAAAAAGGGATTACAGATCACATATCTTCTCCGTTCACATCGCTGTTTTAGGACATTAATCACTGCTGAATGGTGACCGGAAGAGTGTTTCTATTTACGTCATTCGTTTACTGTCGCCGCTCTCTGTCTATTTTTCTGCGTCTTTGTTGATTATTACTGAGCCTGGAGGTAGCAATTTACTTTGGGCTCACAGAGTTTCTAATTTTACACTCTTGTGAATACAGGCGACTCAAGTGTCCAGTTTTCTGCTCCTCAGCAGTGCCAGAGAAGTGGAGAAGTGATCTTAGAAAATGGTTTAAAAATGATGTGTTTGCTGATCATATATGATAAT